TCACCCCCAGCCCCAACAAAGCTGCTCTTCAACAACTTCAGCCCTCACCCGCCGCTGCTTCACCTCCCTCCGCCGCCTCTGTTGCGCCGCCCTCCGCCGCTTTCGAAAGCACATCACACCAGAACATCATATTATCAATCTTTCTCTCTCCCGAAAAAAAGCACCAAATTGAGGATTGTATTGTTGATTAAGCTTTGATTCCAAAAACTCAAATTTCTCGGCGGAATTAAACTCTGATTCAAAGAAGAAAAAAAAATTGGTTTGGACTGAAATTGATGCACCGTCGCCAGAGGTTTCAATGGTGGAAGGTTTATCCTTTGCTACCGTGTCATATTTCCACCAAATTGGGTTCTTCCACCGCTGGAATTCGCCGTCGCCGTCATCCGTTGATTGATTGCGGCAAAGAACGAGCCACCAACCGGCGGTCAAATTTTGCGACTGGAGCACCAGCGAAACCCCCAATTTCTTTGTCTTGTGATGGTGAATGAGGAATGGATTGAAATTGGTTCGGTGGTGGTGGTGGTGCGGCGGCGGATAAGAGGTTGTGGTGGCCGGTGGGTGGTGTTTGATTTGTAGAGGTATAGTTGTCAGATTTGTGTGTGGAGGTGGGTTGAAGACGATGGGTGTGCTGGTGCAGCAATATTCTCTTTTTTCTTTTCTTCTTTCTTTCATATTTCTTTTTAGTTTTTTTCATTTTATTTATATTTATTAAAAAGAAAATGAAGAAAATGGGAGTAAAAAGGAAAAGACTAATTTACCCAACTATATTCACGTGTGAGGCAGTGATTTGAATTCCGATCAATTTGAGCTGCCGGTGCTAAGAAAAAAGAAGTTCAGGTATGCTCGTGCAACTTTTTTCCGTTTAGGGGGTAAAGCGCAAAACCGTCCAAAGTTTAGGGGATTTTTTGCAGTTAACCCTTTAAAAATTATTTTTTAAGGTGTTTGGATATGTAGCTTATAAGTTACTTTTTGTTTTTATAAGTTGTTCAGGTGTTTGGAAATAAAAGGTCTGTTTATTGCTATAATGACAAAAAAGTACATGACGCCAGTATAATTATTAAACTTATTTGACTCAAATACTTTTGTTCCTAAAATATTATTATAATATTTACAAATTATTTTTTCAAATAATAATAATAATATAAACTTATATAATAATATAAAATAAAAGTTGTAAAAGAAATATAATTTTTTTTATAGATGAAAGAAATATAATTTAATATGGAGATAATAAGAATATTCGTGTATTTTTATATACATATAAAATATAAATAGAGAATAATTTTTTTTTATAATTATTATGATAATTACGATAGTTATATTTAACTAATTATTAATCTTGATTACAAGAATACGTTGTTGTGTTAAAATATAAATATTATTAATATTCATGTAATATAATAAAGTATTTGAGGGTAATTTTGTATTTTAAGTGTTTTAGTAAAGAAGCAAATAAGATCTTAAAGAAAAAATGTGGGGTATAGGTACTTTTTAAAAAACATCTTATAAGCTCCCTAACAGCTTATTTTTGGAAAAAATAAGATCTTTTGCAATTTTTTTACCAAACACATTTTAACAACTTATAAGCTCCTAGGCATCTTATAAGATGTTTTTAGGAGCTTATAAGCTTAGCCAAACAGGCTCTTAGTCTTTGATCGATTCACAAAATGTCTAGCTTTTTTCTGACCTTCACATTTGATTTGATGCATGCATTCTAATTACTTGTTGTGATATATTTCTTAAAAAGAAAAGAAAAGAAAAGAAAAGAAAAAAAAAGAGAGAGAAGACATAAAGCGCACTAGGACGGTGAATGAATTTGAGTTAGGGGTGGAAATCGGACGGAATGGATCAGAATTAGTTTTTTCGGAAAATTTACAATTTCTTCGGAAATAAAAAATGGGTTCTAATTTTTCGTCCCAAAATAATTGGAATGCAAAAAATCATTCATTTTCGGAATCTGCCGAATTTTGAAAATTTCAGAAATTACATTATTTTATAATCTCTTTTTCCAATATTTTTCTATTTTTTCAATATTTTGTAGAAAAATGAAAAAAAATCCAAAATAGAGTTCCACAAAACGTAATAAATGGAAACACACGTAGGAACATCAAGTTGAAACATATATTTTCTTATAAAAAAATGCAACATCAAATTTCTAACACCGATTCGATATTTTTTTCCAATGTTTTAATTTACTTGACGCTTCGATATGTATATTTTTCATATAAAATAGGGTAAATTACACCCACAACCCTGAGGTATGCTTAAATAATTTTAAGGTCCCAATAGTATCGATAATTACACTCACCCTGAAACGCAGTTAGAAACTCTAACGGGATAATGCATTGGATACATTACTCCGATAGGGTTCTAATGGACTATTACCTTTAGCTAGTGGTGGAGAAAATATAGAGTTATGGGGTGACATGGCTCCCCTAATATTTTTTAAATCACCCATAACTCTTTGTCGTCTCCACCACTTCATAAAATCAATCGACCGTTAGAATTCTATCGTAGTAACGTATCCAATGCATATTATCTCATTAGAGTTTATAACTACGTTTCAAGGGGGTGAGTGTAATTATCGATACCACATGGACCTTACAATTATTTAAACATACCTCAGGGGTGTGGGTGTAATTTACCCTATAAAATATAACATAAGGTATATTTTGAAATTACAAAATATATCATAAAGTTATATTATATATTTCAAAAACCATATAAATATTGGGAATTAAAATCGGATAGGAACTCGGAAACTGAAATGACAAATATAGTTCCAAATTCGGATATTATCGAATCCAAAATGATGAAATTCAAAAATTTCACTCCGATTTTCACCCCTAATCGGAGAGCAATCGAACTAAATTAATTAATTCAGTTCGCTCATTTTATAGCAATCCGTAACAGTTCACTACATTATACTGACTGCTTTGTTTGATTCATTTTATTATTATTATTATTATTTATTTATTTAAATTTTTTTTGGTTAATTTGTTTTGGGCCAGACTTTAGATTTCTGGACCAAAAGAAAAATGAACAAAAACATTTCATATATTTCTTCTTCGTTTTCTGGCTCGAAATTTCTTCAGTCTGATTTGAAGGCCAGATTTCCGCCTTTTGTTCAAATCGATTCACGAAAATAATCTAGAGAGAGAAAGTAATCAACAGGATGGGAGGAGGAATGGAGATGCGGAAGAACCATTGGATCGAGGAATGGGCAACGGCTAGAGAGAATCTGGAGCACCATTTCCGATGGACCCGCCGCAACCTTGCCCTCGCCGGAATATTCGGAATCGCCGTCCCCGTACTCGTTTACAAAGGCATCGTCAAAGATTTTGTCAGTTTCCCCTTTTCTCTTACGATGATATCATTGATTGATTCTATTTTCCATCTGTTTGTGCACTAACCGATTGATTGAATCAACGCTTTTTTCTGCTATTTTATTTTGATTTTGGCTACTGAACAATGTATCAGCTGCTGTGATTTGGAATTGATTATATAGCTGTTGTGTTCTTCGTCTCCGTTGTAATAGATTAAGCTCGAATGCGAATTATGCGACTTTTTCGAAGTAGTACAATTAGATAGTATAGTGCCACCAATTATATCTTGTATTATTAATCCAATTTATTTCAATTATCAAGTGTTTATCATGTGTTTCTGAATCAGTAATTTGATTCTAGTTTGCTCGACTTGACAGATATTAAACCTCTATAAATTAAATTATCGAGATAATAATTTAGTACGTTTTTTCGAGTTGGGTCCGTAAGAAATTATTATTTAAACGAGGGTTATTAATATATCGAGTTTCTACTGTAGTTCATCAAATGATGGTTGTACACTTGTACTTGTATCGATGCTTCTTCACTTTAATTATTTTTTGGACCTTTGATCTTGATCGTGTAGATAATAAGATCTACACTGCGTATGTGTTTGTTTGTGCGTATTTAAATTTACAAATTTGATCAAGTATTCATCCGACGGTAATTTTCGTTGCAGCACATGCAAGACGAGGATGCAGGAAGACCACACCGGAAATTCTGGTTTTAGGCAATCCCACAATTATTTGTAATAAATTTGAACCATTTTAGTGTCACATTCTTGACTCTTTTTTTCTAAGTTGAACCATTTACTCACAGCATCAAAGGTCCAGATTTTTCGGTTCTCTATTTTATTGAAGCGTTATGTTGCAAAATTAGGGGGAAACACAAGAACGAGGGGGTAAAAGAAAAAAAAAAAAAGAATGTTGACATTTTGGCTACTATTTGTTTAAATACGTGTTTACTTTGTGTTTATGCCGCATTATCATATGCTATCATCATCTGAACTCGTACTGTTATGCTCGTTATATCTGTTCACCGCTGGCAACGGTGCGTTTGCTGATATTCTAAACGATCTCCCTAACCCCGTTGTCCTATCCTGCATTCTCCCCACATCTTTGCACACATTATCCAAAACCGACAGAAAATCTCGTATTACCGTAAAAATCCTCAACGAATGTCCCTCGTTTCTTGCATTAGTTTCCCCATGGAAGTACTGTGTGACTTCCCTCACTAGAGACAAAGCTTTCCTTTCTTCAGCCTTAACCCTAGATATCTCATCGCCAGCTTCTTTCAGAAACAATTTCATCGAATCGAAAAAATTCCCCCTTAATAGACTTTGTTCCTCGTACTGTAGAACCTGTTTAGTTTTCTGAAGTCCCGTTTCGAGTTTTTTCACGTAGCCGCTCAAAACATCTGAATCCATTGTTGCGGCTTTTTTAACATTTGCGAGCTCTTTGCTTAAGCCTGATACGACTTGCAACCCTTGTTTGTTGAAATCGTCTTCGTTGAATTTGAGGTTGCTTTTATTACATGGTGTGTTTTTGTTTGCAGGGTCATCGGAAAATGCTTCTTCTGACCTAATGATTTCTTGGACAACAAAGTGAAGTAAGGTTGTCTTTCCATCTGTTCCTTTTATGTCTACTAATTTCAATAGTGTGTCCAATTTGAAAGCTTTTGCTTCGCCTCGGTTTGTACCGTTGTTCATGCGGTTTCCTGTCCTTAGAACTGCTTCTAGGAGTTTAAGGAATAGGCGACTGTTCTTTAGTTCTTCACTTGCTTCCTATATGTTCAAAGAGTAACGTATGAGAAAAAGAAAATCGAGTAAAAACGGGATTAAGAATGGAGAATTAATTCGTAGTGTAGTATACCTCTAAGGTTTGAAAAGATTTCCGAAGATATTTCACTTCCGTATCGAAGTTTGCTCTGTACACCATTGCCTCGACTCTTTTGAAGGCAAATGGGATTTCGAGTATTGCCCTTAGGAAACGCTCTGCGGGGCCCAATTTAGAGCTTTCGTTTTCGCAGTTTTTAAGTTTTGTCTCTTCCTCCTTGCTCGGTGCCATCTTCACTAATGTCTCGAAAAGCTCTGGATCCAATCCTTCTGGATTTCCTGCACCACCGAGTACTTGACTTTAAATTTAATTATCATGCTTATATAATCTACGAGTAATTACAATTTGTGACGAAATGTGTGTATTTTAGTGAAGCGTGTTTTGTTTTTAGGTTCGTTGAAGAATTGTATACGCCATGTCATCATTTCTTTGTATAAAACTGGATGGATATTTAAAATGTGCTACATAAATTATTGAATAGCTTGAATCCACATTTTTAACTTAGGATGTATAAAAAGAGATACATACCATCTAAAAGTGCTTCGGAAACTTCTTCCCTTGTCACATTCAATGCACGTAGTAGAATAGCAATATTCTGAGACTTTTTTGTGTCTAATATCCGATTCTCCTGCTTAAAAGACGGTAAAACGAACTTCCTAGTTGCTTCTTTAGGAACTGCTTTCACAGAATTGCGTCCGAATAACGAGTCCATAGCATCCTCGTTCAACCTGTATATATGTATACATATTTCATAAGGTGGAATTACAAAAAAACACCATTAGCTCAAATAAAGAAAGTAAATATTCAGTTCGCTTACTTAAACGAGCTCGATTTTAACTGGTCCCACACCGTGCCTATGTCTGACGTGGCTCGTACTTTGTCCTCGTCATCAAATGAAGTGACATTGTTAGGACTTGTCACTTTTCGGGAAACTTCTAAAGGTGTATTATATGCTTTTGAAATTTCATATCTTCTTGAAGTTGAAACCGGTGGTGGTGGTGGTGGTGGTGGTGGTGGTGGTGGTGGTGGTGGTGGTGGATGTGGGACCGGGATTTTAGATATCTTCTTCATGATTAATTCGCATTGCTCATTTTTTGGTGATGGGGAAAAACTGCAGTTTTTCACTTGGTTGTGGCTGTGGATCAGA